GGCACAGGGGGCTCCGGGCTGCACAGGGGGCTCCGGGCGGCACAGGGGGCTCCGGGCTGCACAGGGGGCTCTGGGCGGCACAGGGGGCTCCGGGCTGCAGAGGGGGCGGCAGGGCGGTGCTGAGGAGCGGGGACCGGGCGGGCACTGGAGGCACTCTGCAAACAGCACGGTGGAGGGGAGGGGGTCGCTTTGAGCCCATCTCAACGCTGCTGGGATTTAACAGTTGAAGGACTCACTCGTTTTGTATGGATTTCTTTTTTTTGACAAAATGATCTGTTGAACAGCGTCGCGGGGGAAATAAATCCCTCTTGCACACTATTGCGGTGTAGTCAGCACTTTGGTTTTTTGCTCGGTTTGCTGCTGGTGTATCGAGCGAAATCAAAATTTGGCAGCCCGAGGGGACAGGGTGACAGCGGAAGGGATGTTCCAGGCGGGAATGGTTCGCGTGAAACTTTTACATAATATTGGAAAAGCTTCAGACAATCGTAATTAACTTCGAACCATCAAAATATTTTCGTCCCTCCATTTGAGGTTTAAGACCTGCCAGGCTGGCAGAAAATCGGACTGATTTATATCCTGATACCACTTTGATATTTCTTTATATGAGCGTTTGTTGGAGGGACTGGACACGCTGACATGCAACAAAAAAATTGGGCTATATAGAGAATTAGAGGACGTGCTGAAATCCCCCAGAATAGCGTTTCTGTCGATGTTTAAATAAATATTACAACGTTAAGTTTCAGACTCTGCCTTTCAATTCTCAAATTAGAGATTTTTTTCTGTCGATGTTTAAATAAATATTACAACGTTAAGTTTCAGACTCTGCCTTTCAATTCTCAAATTAGAGATTTTTTTTTTCCCCTCTAAAAGCCAGCCTCTTCAACACTTTTAAGGTGCATATTATTTCAAACCAAGACAACATTTCTCTTGAAACATCGCTAATATTGTAAAAGAACGGAACCTCAGTGAATAAAATTATAACTACGGACGGATGGATTTCCAGACTTCTCGGGTCCCTGTAACTCTCCCGCTGCTCTTGGCTTCCCGAGCCGCACATGACCTGAGGAAAACTTCAAAATGCGGCTGATCGCTGTTTGCAGAAGGGCTGAGCTCTGCTCCGGTCCCTCAGCCTCGGCGTTAGTGCTGGGTGCCCAAACTCGGCGGGGTTTGGGAGCCCCGAGCCTCCTTCCCTCGGGGCTTTCCCTGCGGTTCCCCGGCTGTGGCCACCAGCAGCCCCTTCCCTCGGCCACCCGCACCCGAGACCCCCTGTGCCTCTGTCCTTCCCTGTCCCTGCCCTGAAAGCGCCGGCCAGGAGCCCTGGGGAGCAGCAGGGAAGGGGAGCCCCGGGGAGCAGCAGGAAGGGGAGCCCTGGGGAGCAGGGAAAGGGGAGCCCTGGGGAGCAGCAGGGAAGGGGAGCCCTGGGGAGCAGCAGGGAAGGGGAGCCCGCTGGAGCAGCCGCTGCTCCCCAAAGTTCCCGCAGTGCTCTTTAAGAGACCGCCACCCCCCCTCGGCAGCAAATTCAGCTCCCCGGGAAGGGAACGGAGCCTGCGGAGCTGCCGGGATCGGGGAAGGGGCGGAAAGCAGGAGGGGACCCAGCCCGGCACAATAAACGGGGCGAGGGGGAAACCTGATGCCTGGAGCCATTTTCTTAAATTCGCTACGAGGGAAGCCCCGTGTGTCTGGTGGGGGTCGGAGAACACTTGAGGTCGTGTAAATACAGTTGTCAAAGGCTGAGGAGCCTTTTATTATTGTTATTTATTTATTTGGGTGACAAAGGAGGGTGAGGCGAGATAAGGAGTTTACAGCACAGCCCAACTTGAACGCGAGAGAGACCCCGAGCTTGAAAAGAGCCATTCCAAAGAGCCTGCCCGGCCTTTCTGCACGAACAACGCTTAATAAGAGTCATTAATATATGTTAATTGCAGCTCCAGCAAGAGCTCGGGGGAATCTTGGAACTGCGTCAGGGAGCATCGCTGGCTTTTAAAGAACTCCGTGTACGAACCCTGCCCCGTTTAATCCTGTTATTAGAACATCCCCTAATTCCCCACCGGCATCAGCGAGGGCTCGTCCTCGAAATTTGCCCAGACAAGGGATCTGGGAGCCCCTTTCGTTGGGACCCCGCTGACCCTCGCTAGGCTGATGCTCAGGAGACGCCCAGCCTTTAGCGATGCTCAGGATAAAAGTTCCCGTGGTCCCCGTTTCAGAAGTTTTCAGCGTGGCTGCTAAATGGGCCATTCCAGGCTGGTTCTACAGCCGAAGGTCCTTAGGAGATTGTGGTTTTTTGTTTTATGACATTTAGGTGTCACGCCAAAACACCGCTGGAGGTTTCCTTGAGGCTGCTGCCTCCCTCTTGTGGGGCTGACACGGCTGGAGCCACCTCCCAGGGGACAGCAAAATTCATTCATTCTGCCAAACGAGCTCCGGCTCCTTCCCGTGCCTTCCCCAGCCTGGAGATCGCAGCCAGAGCCTCCAGCTGTCCCTGCTGCTCTCCGATCCGGGGAAGCAAGGGTTACTTCTATGACATCATTAAAAATCGCAACATTTAGGAACAAAAATCCCAAGTGCGTGGGTAAACCCGGGCAGGGCGTTTGGCCATAGCTCCATCCCTTTGAACTGAGCCTCCCAGCGCGTTCGGGAGGCAGCGGTGAATTTTGTATTTTTTTTTTTTTTTTTTTTTTTAATCATTTTTTTTTTTTTTTTTTTTTATTTAATCACTTCCCTCCCCTCTCTCCCCACCCCAGCTGAACTTTTATTTGGCTTCTGACAACAATAGCGGGCTGCAAACAGACCTCTCGGAGCGCCCTCTGAATAGACCCTTTTCGAGCCCGGATTGTTTCCACCGCCACAAAAAACAACCAGCAGCTCCCGTTTTTTAATTGGGTTGTTCCTGGCTCATTCAGGTGTTCGAGAGGAATTTGTTTATTAGCCTTTGACAAACAGCCCCTCCTGGCAATCGCATCACGGATTTGTCTTCGGCGGGAGGGGAGGGATGCGGAGAGGGGCAGTTTGCTAATAAGGACTCTCCATCTCCCAGTTCCCAATTAACAGAGCCCAGGAGGGGACCACCAGCACAGGATAACTCGCTGCGGAGCCCCGAGGAAAGCACAGCTTTAGAGGGAAAAACCAGCACGAAAAGCGATGCTAAAGAGACCAGCCCGGCTGTCCCCAGCCTGGCAGAAACCTCCTCCCCGGTGGATGAGACAGAAACAGGAGCTTTCTGCAACTTCCCCTCGCTGTTACTGCACAGAACGCCCTGAAAGAATTATCCAGCACTGCTGGGCTGGAGCTCCCATCCCTGGGGACGCTTCAGCCCCGCGGGGATGCGGCTCAGGGCTGCGCTTGGCAGCTCCAGCTTTCCTCGCCCATCTCAGGGAGCCTTTTCCAACCTGAACGGCTCCATGGTTCTCACAGCTCCGCTCCTTTTGTCCTCCCCGCCCCGAGCCGAGCGCCCCCGGCAAGGGCAGCCCCTTCCTTCCCCAGGGACAGGGAGCCTCCCCCGGCCGGGAATCTCTCCTCCCCGGTACTTGTTGCTCTGCTTGTCTCTGCTCTCCTAAAACACAAAAAACACCCCACAAACTCAAATCATCTCTGTTTTTCCCGTTTAAAACTTGGCGAATGTTTCCTCCCGAGTTTTCTGTACAGGTGCAATAACCACCTTATTTACTGATAATCATGGCCGTGCTCCTTTTTAGCAGCTGGTTTAGAAATCGGACATTAATTGTAAAACTCTAACTTGCTAATTAGCTGCAAATAAACTATTCATTAGTGGCAAATTCGAATCAAAACACACCTTATTCCTCCTCTCTGACACACAGTTTTGAAGGCACATATTGTTTCAGACTACAGCCTGTATCACTGGCACAGCAAATTGAGATCCTGAAAGGTTTCTCTCCAGGATATATAATTAAAATATATTCTACTTTAATTGACATTATAGAGGACACAAATGAGATTTTCCTTTTAGAAAGAAATAGCAGTTTCTAAATAAAGCTTTGCAGGCTGCAGAATGGAGGTTTCAAGCAAATGAATAGTCATTACTACCTTTTCAATGATGTGGGCCTTTTGATCAGAAAAGAAATTAGCTCTAAAGGACAGACAATGGGAAGCCTGCCCTGCAATAGGAAGAAAATTAGATGGCTAAGGCTCTTAACAACACCTATTTCTATAAACCATAGAGCTTCTTGCTTTTCAATTACAGCTGTTCATTTCAAATAAGGAAAGCGGAAAAACACAGAGGGGAATATAAACTCTGTTGCACCAAAAAAAAAAAAAAGCCCGAGACAGGGCAGGCAGGCAGGCTTCCCATTTTCCTTTTGTTTTTATTAGAATCAGTTAACTAATATTACATATTTTGTAATACTCAGCCAGCCCAGTACAGCATTCTCCAGGTCAATCAGGGTGGATTACATTCAGTAAAGGAGCTGGTAAAACACGAGAAACTTCACGTTAGGTAGCTGGATGTTTCCACTGCACATCAAATAAGTACATTTTGCATCACAAACTTGTGTGCATTCTGCAGAGAAAACAAAACAGGACTGAAGAACCTGAGGAAAATGAAATGCTGAATAACACTCTGCTGTCTTTTGATTAGTCAAAAATTAATGCCAGATCTTCTGAATTAAATTGAGCGCTCTTTCATAACACTTAGGGCAGAGAGATTATTTCAGGCAGGTTCTCCCCACATTACTTTTAACCCGTTATTATTTTAGAAATAATACTTTTACTCCCAAAATGTAAAACTAACTTGCTGTGTAATGAGTTTTAAATATGAGCTCTCTTTCAAGTTATTTCGTTTGAACATTATTTTTGAGCACTATTTCTCCTGCATATAAAATAATCCAAGGTTTTCTTGTGAATCTGAGATACAATGATAGAATCAATCCTTTCTTCCCCTACCATTTCTCTCTAGCCACACTTTTATGATTAGGTGTAACAAGTAAATGATAATTTGTTATTATCCAATCGATACACTGTAGTTGAAATAATCTCTCAGTAATGATTTAAACACAATAACCACAAAGCTTTATTGTAAACAAGTTCTGTTCTCATATTAACTCAGCTGGACTATAGAGATGTCTTCAAAAAAAAACCCCATAAAATCACAGAGATTACACACACATTGTTTTTTATCCTTTCTATTAATCTATTCATGGCTTTCATACTTTCTCCTTTCCCTCTCCCCACTCCTGTGTCTTTATTTTTCTTTCTGTCTCCTTCCCTGTTGTATTATTTGTTTAGAAATCAGGTTAGATGTTTAATTCAAAGGGCTGATGAAATAAATATGAATTGTTTTTGCTGTGAAAAGGTGTCTTTTAATCTTTTTCATCTCTGAACAAGTGAATGTTCAAGAAAAATTATTTTTCCCTGTCCAAAAACCTAAATCATATTTGTCTTCTAGCTAGAAGTGATTTTAGTATGAAATACGAATGGCAGCTTTCTATTTGGTGTCTGTATCTCCCTTCACTCCAGCCTGGCCCTGAGATAGAGAAGAATAAAAGAAATTGTTTAATCTGCTAAAGAATGATCTCCTAACTCCCAAAGTGGAGTCACTCATGTCAGTATTTGAAGTAATCTCCCTGCTTGAGAGCAGTTAGAAAATTATGAATAATGCAAACTTCTGCCTCAGTTTTTACTGGAACAAACCTTCCTTTTTTTTTATTTTTTTATGTAAGAAATTAATTACAACGTCATTTGATTTGAAATTATTTTGTCTCAGTAAAGGTACCCCTGCTAACTAGTGGGAAAAACCTCCCTCCATGCAAATGATCGGCTCAAGTGTCGTTGAGACTTTGTGATTTACAACACAAAACCCACATCAAGATCTGCATCCCTGAGGAGATTAAGAACTTGGGAAAACCCATTCCCGCTGCTGCAATTGTCAGTGCTGATGGAAAAGGAGCTGAGGGTGAGGAAGGGTCTGCACGAGAACAAGCGAATCTAAACTGACCTCGACACTCAGAATCCGAACATTTCACCTGAAATTCAGTATCAGACCAACGAGAAAAATACAGGAAAAAAATAGAGAAATAAGGAACCTAAAGAGATTTGCAGAGCAGGGTGAGCAGTTGGGGTTGGAGCTGTTTTATCTACAAGACATCAACACATCTCAGTGACTCAACTCCTTTGACCATTCCAGTCCCAGTCATGAGAGAGCTTCCCTAGCCCTGAAAATCCTTTCTGCTCTTTTTTCCCCCCAACACACACTGATAAATGAGGGCAATATGTGCCTTCTGCAAAGCAAATTATGCACCTGCATCTATGAATAAAATAGATATAAAATAACAGACATGGAACTCACCGGAGGAACAATTATTATATTTCCATGGGACACATTTCTGACCTGAACGTGGGTCACAAATACCTGCACCATTTAAATTGATATCCATCACTCATCCTTCCTTTCTGTAATAGCTCAAATCAATTACCTGATTTTCAAGGTATCCCAAGAAATACTTAAATTCCTGCCTTGCAGTGGTCCAGCTCTTATTTGTCTGCAGACAATTTCTCTCCTAGCAGGGCAAGTGCAGCAGGCACTTGCAGGGGAGGAATTTGTGCAATGATACAAAAATTAAGGACTTGTAAAATAAGTAAAATAGGTAAAATAGGTAAAACAGGCCATTTCTGAAACAGGTAGACCAATTTCACAAAGGGCATCTGGAGGGACACAGTGGATCTTTCTGCTGGTGTACCCAACACAATTTTCATTCAAAGAATCCAAGGAAAATCCCATTTTCCCTGGTTAAGAAGCCTTTCTGATGGCACTAGACTCCCTTCTCTGCACCTACCAGCAGCACATGCAGGGTAATTATTGGGAGATGGTGCTCCTTGCTCTGTGGGACAGCAGTGAGGGGTTCCCAGGCGGGTTGGATGTGTGAGCTCTGTGTGTGTGAAGCTCACAGGATGATCCTGAGGACAGAAAACAGGAAAGAGCCCACCAAACCCAGAGAGCAAAAGTGAGGGGAGCATGGAAGGGAAGAGGAGGTTTGGGATGCAGTCCTGAGAATCCCCTTAGGAAGTGAGGAAGGGAGTGCAGGAGGACCCACAGGGGAGGAAAATCTCCCAAAGGAACCATTTAGAAAGTCACACCACACAGTTTCTGGCTTGTTTCCCTTTTCCTGCTGTCAGTTGCCTTTGTCCTGGCTCATCCCATTCCCACTTTTGTAAAAAATCCCATCAATAACAAATTCAGTTTCTTTTTCAGAAAGAACTCTGGAACCCTTTGGAAAATGGTGTGGTCTCACAAAACTCTCATCTTCCACTTTGATTTAACTTGATTTGAAGACCTCACAAACACGATATGTCTAAACTATGTCCAGTGAAGGGTTTGGGCTTAGCTTGCAGAAATCTATTGTACAGAGTTTGTTTCATTCATAGATTGATTTCAATTAGAGCTGTAAAACCATTGCAGGTCGTTAAGAAAACAGGTGATATTTATCATTTTGTAATTTTAATCAGTGTAAATGCAGATGATTTCTGTATCTGCTTTCCAATTTCTATACACAAAGTCCATAAAGTCTCGAGCCTGCTCTGTTTGCACACCAATGGCTCCCAGGAAAGCTGATGAAAATTAGAGGGAGGCACTTGTGCCTTACTTTTGCATGAAAACACAAACTCTTCTTATCAACAGTATTGCTGCTTCTCATTTCAGGTTGAGTCAAGCTCAGTTGCACAAAGAATGGCTGTCAGCAAACCCACACAAAGCACTGCAACGTTCATAGACAGTCTTTGAATCAAAATGAGAAATTTGTTCTTCTGTTCTCCAGATTCCACTAAAAAGATGAACCAGAAATTCCATTTGAGGCTGTTTATGGCTCTTCCTGTCATGGTATTTGAGTATATTGCAATAAATGCAGTTTTCACTGAACACAGTTCCATGTGAGGGAAGCAAACCCTGGGTCAATTTAGGTAGATTCAGAAAACAGGCAAATCAGTAATGTGGGAAAAGCCTCTGGAATAGATAGGAGATATGTGGGAGCAGATCTCTTGGAATAAATCAGATTAGCACAGGGCTTGGCCATTTGCATTTCTGTAATGGACCATGCCCATAAATATCACAAGCTGGAAAATACTCAGAACCAAGGTGCACTAACAGAGAACAATCAGATGGAGATTTTGTAACTCCCTGGGAACACTCTAAACCTGACACCAGGGCAAAAGAATCCAGAAAGAGGAGAAACTGTTAAAAATCCCATCTAAAGCTCTATTTCCTTGTAACTTGGCTCAGGAGTATGTAAAGAATCTGGTTTGATTGAGCTGGGGACTGACTGGAGTGACACGGGAAATATTTTACTGCAGTACTTATAGCAGAAAAAAAAAGAAAAAAAAGAACTTTCTAAAGAGAGTCAAAAAGGTGAGACTTTTTAGTCTGAAAAAACCCCAAATTATTTATTTCATACTCATGCAAGATGATTAAGACAGACACAGATAGCTAGGATGTCTCCCAAAAAAGAAAGCCTGCAGCTTGGTGTGCCAGCAAAAATGGGAATAATGATCTCATGTCCCTCAGTCCTTAGGGAATGTCCCACAGCTCCTGCATAAATAAACAGGATAATTCCCAGGAGAGGGCAGCCTGTGCCTCCCACAGGTGCTTCTCCAGTGCTGCACCAGGTAAAACCTTGTCCTGTTACTGTTTCCTCTATCCAAAACTAATCCCCAGCCACAGAACACATTTAAATTTGCAATGTTATCATTCCTTTGGATTTCCTTTAATTGTAAGTGCCTGGGGAAACGAGGTCTGCAGAGAAAAGGTGCCTGGGCTGTTGGATGGAAATGCACAATCAGAATTAAGCAATGCTCAGAGTTCCCACTGATCATTTTCCATGGATAGCTCTTACACCAGGGCTGGAGATTAATCAAGACTTGAGCTTGTGCACATTTTTAAGGTTTGCAAAGCTGCTCACTTCCAGGTTGAAATGGGATGTGAGAGCTGCTGGGCTGACACAGATTCATGCTGTTATATTTTACTTAGGAACCTTTGCTGGAAGATGAAGAGCAAAGAGAGTTCCACTGTTTGCTGATAACTTTCTGCTCAAGAAAGGACAAGGTGGCACAGAGGATGTGGACTGGTCAAAAAAATCCCTTTTGCTCCAGGTTTTTTGGGGCTGATCCCAGATGGTTACAAAAGAAAATTGCCACTGTTTGTTAGGTGTTGCTGCCTTATGTACACTGAGCTGGAAATCCTTGGTTTTCCCTACTCATTTGTGCATCATTAACTCTTCAATAAGTTACAATTATGACACAGTGATGGCAAACTGAGAGTTCTAAGAGAAATGTGTGTCGTGTTCCTGCACACATAAACACAAAGTTTCATCAAATAATTAATTTGCATTAATTATCTGATATTAATTAATATTAACTATTAATTTATCCAAGTTAAGTTGCCAGGAAAGTGTGGATGAACAGATCTCATTTCTGTTCACACCGCTGCACTTGAGATGAAATAGAGGATTTTTTTGATTTTAAATAATTGTGAATGGGATCTTTCTCCTTATTCCTGCATTCATATCACACACA